ATGATTTATTTCTTTAAAGGAAAAATCCCCTTGGAACTCGTCGAGTTGATGGCCGAAACTTGACGTGTTGAAAGCTTCCGGGCCGTGGGCCCCTTTGGACCAACTCAACGAGTTGGTAAGGAAAAACTCAACAAGTTGGCGGTTGGATGAGAAACCCTAAATTTTAGGGTTTACACCCTATATAACATCCTTAAGTCTTTGAGGTTGATCTCTTATCAGCCTCCAAACCCTAATATCAACCTTGTGAGCCCTAATCTTCATTTCCACTCATATTGTGAGTTATTATGGCATTTTGGAGAAAAGAAGGAGAAAATTATGTGAAGGAAGAAAGGATCTAGCAAGATAAGCCTTTAGTCTCCAGTTTAGCGCGCTTGTGGACTGTTGTGAGTATTCAAGATTCGATTTTTATCTATATGTCTAGCTAGATGTTGAGTTTTGCCCCTTTTTCCTCCTTATTCTTGGTTGTTGCATGAATGATAAAGTTGGCAACTTTATGAATCTCCCGCGCAAGATGGCCTCATAGTGGGTTAGATCTGGATTTTTGTTAAGATTTGATGCCATGCATGTATTTTATGGCATATTTCCCCCTTTTGGCCCATTTTGGCTTCAAGACATGCATTGGACATGCATATCTATAAATGTGGGATGTTTTTGAGGTTATAACCTCTTTTAGAAAGGATGGGTTCCAGATCTCTAGGGTCTTGGGCTTAATGGTTAAGCCTTTAAGTTCTCAAGCCTTAGGTAAGAGCTTTTGAGCATTTAGGATGTCTCAAAGGATAAAGTTTGAAACTTTATCCTTTAAGACACATTTGGAGTTCAGATCTGAGTCTTAGAGTCCCTGGAATCGAAGTATCATCCGGATGTGTTTGGCAGGTGGAAAACTCGATGAGTTGTCCAGCCAACTCGGCGAGTTGGTTAGGGTTTTCTCGACTTTCTGAGTACTGAAGGAACTCAACGAGTTGCTAGGTGCACTCGATGAGTTGGGTCAACATGGATTGTTGACCTTGATCGTTGACTTTGACTTTGACCATGGTTGACCAAGTTTGGCTTTGAGGGTATTTTGGGTATTTCTTGGTTTTGATAGAGATGGTCTCATGTTGGTTGTAGGTATTCGAGTCAGGAGCTGAGATTTGAGAGTTGGATCTTATCGGTCAGTGCTGCTTGTGAGGTGAGTTTTCCTCACTGTACTTATGGGTCGAAGGCACCAATACCGACCTTTTTGGGTTGTTATCCTAGTTATCTTAGGATACTATTGTGTTGTTACGATATGCTAGATTGATATATTGGTGGATAGGATGATGTTATGCTTATTTATCTGTATGATCTGTGCTTGCCTGTTGATTGATTATGTGTTTATGAGTTATGTATATGTTGACTTGTGTATGTACGGTTGGGTTGAGGCGGTCCAGTTAGGCCGAAGGCCCGACGAGCGGTCTGGATAGGTTGTAGGCCCTACGAGGCGGTCCAGTCATACCAAAGGCTCAGGAGCGGTCCAGAAAGGCTGAAGGCCCTGTGAAGTAGACCAGTCAGGCTGACGGATCATGTGTATATGTTGTTGTTGGTTATGTTTATGTGGTGATATTTTGGGGAGGACTCACTAAGCTCTGGATTTATAGTTTTTGGTTATGTTTTCGGTACTTTAGATGATTGTGGAAAGGCAAAAGCTTGATCATGCACCTCCTCGTATTTTATGCTATGATTTCTGGGAAAAACTCTGATGTGAAACCTATTTTGAAAATAATATGTAATAAATGATGGTTTTTGGATTTATGTAAACGTTTTAAAATTTTTAAATTTTATGAGTGTTACAACATTATTCCTTTTACCCGATGATTTCCTATTTGGTTCTCCTTCTTTTTGTATGTGTGCTCGGGATGAAGTTGGTTATGCTAGTAGGGATGATGCTATCATTGGTAGCACGACACTTGGTGTTGTCATTGTAATAGGGGTGAATGATGGGATTGAGTTGATAGGGCTGAAAGTTGAGCCTAATATGGGACATGGAACTAGATTTTTTTCTCGCATATTTGTATACGGATGGCGCCAATATTGATACATAGCCTCGTGGATGCTTGATAGCAAGACGAAGTGATCATCTTCTAATGTGCAATCTAGAAGGCACACTACAAAAAATGGATAAACACTAGGTTAGAAAGCGATATTAAGGGATGGACCCCGATATTGCTCTGTGATGCCTAAGTTAGATGTGGATTAGAAGGGTAGTAAAATTGCTTGGGTTCCGAAAACTCTACATTGGTGGTGATCGAAAGTCTTATATACAAACGAGATGGTCTGATTTCTTGTTTTTCTAAATGGGTGTTGTAAATGTCAATGGGTTGTAAGGGTAGTACCCTTCAATATAATAATGTTGCATTTTTTCTGTGTTTTGTACGATAGTGCCTGAGAATCCATATAGATGATTTTTTGTTTTTAATATATTGATTTCCGGTTTTGCCTAGTAGTCAGCTTTGTTGAGAACTATCGATCTGAAAGGTATTTGAGTTTATTGTTTATGATTGGACTCCTTTTAATGGTGTTGCTTCAACTTTATGTGTGTGATGATCCCCATACACTATTAGTGTGATAAGAATCAGAGATTGATATGTATATTTATAGTGGTTGAAAATATGTTTAAAAAAAAGGATTTTGCTTTTAAAAACAATTGGTTTTGTTTTTTTTAATAGTTGAAATGTGTATTGGGGTAAAGAAAATAGTGTTTGAATTGAATAAGTTTCTTTCTCTCTTGGGTGACCGAATGTCGTTTCATTGAAAAAGTCTCGACATGCTACTCTAGTGAGACGGTGTTTGCCGAGCATGCCTAATCGCCGAGCCCGTTCCTCCAAACCTAAACTAAAAGATGTTACATTTATCCTTGGAAACAGAAACTGAAAAAATTAGGAAGTCAATATAACATATAAGGAAAAGTACAACTCTCGAAGCATGTCGTACAAACAAGTGAAGCACCTGAGAATCATGCCCAATCTCAAACGCTCAAACTTCAATTAAGAGGCATATCGACAGTGTTGACTTTTTCTCTGATTTAAATACAAAAACTCAGAGAGTTGACTTTTAATTTTTATCATTATCCCTAGGCATTTGAATTTCAGAGTTTAGTCAGAAAGGTTGACTCTTTTTCACGTCTTTGTTGGTTTGTGGATTAATGAGATAGATAAAATAAGTCAATCAATTGTATTGAGACAAACGTTGACCTTTATTTTTCATAAAATATAATATCCATATGCAAGAGTTTATGTAAAAGTATTAATAAATTTACAAATTTTCTTTCTTGAATATAAAACAATTATTTTTTTTAGGAAAACAGAATGATTTGTAAAATAAAAGACACCGGGAAGCAAACAATCAGATGATATAGAAATTTATTGTATTGAGTCATATTAAAAATGCAATATATTTGACATCCTTACTTAAACATAAAACATATGATAAAAAAATATAAAGTTATACGACATGTTCAATATTTTGTTGACAAGAATTTAAGTCAAATACTGATTACTAGTAATCATGACATATTTTATTAAAAAATATATTTCATTTATTTTGTATTGTTTTAAAGAAGATATTTTGTTGTTACTACGATTATAATCCAAATAATCCTAATATAATGTTTGACATTGTTTTCATTTGTAAGGTGTTATATTAAGTTTTTATTTTTATAATTCAAAGTTATATTAGCGTCATTTTTTTTTTCAATCTTTCAATATTTTTCTTTTCAATCTTTTAATATGTGTTATAGTATTTCCAATAGTATGTTATTTCATTAATTTTAATATCAAGTTAAATGACATGCCAATTTATTTACTTTTTTAGTATCTTTTTATAAAATTTCACTAATATATCTTCATTTATATAAAATATTTTATAAACCATTCTCATTCAATTAGTCATTTTTAAATACATCATATTTTACTACGGAATTATAAATATAATTATCGGATCTTTATTTTATACATATAATAAAAAATATTAAGTTATAGTTATAAAGATAGATAATACATTAAAATTATTATATAACTTTTATAAAACTTAGACAAAATTATATATCGGTCAGGTTTGTAAAAAATAAATAGTAAGATAATGTCATATTATATTTTTGTTGATAATTATTAAAATAATTGATAAATAAAACAGCTGTTTTAGCTATGTGTCAAAGTAAAAATTTATTAACTTTAATGAGATGGTTGAAGTATTTAAATTTTTTAGTAGTTGGAAGTCCAAGTCCATAGTCAAAACCACTTAAATAACAAGTCAAAGCTGCTGTTGAATAGGATAATAATGCAATAGCAAATCTTTTATTTATTATTATTATTATAGATTACTAACAACAGAACTTTAACAAACTAAGATAAGCGTATAATGGCAAATTAAGATCTAAAATAAACGTATATTTAGTTTTTTTTTTAATTTAAAATTATTTTTATATAAATGATGGTTGTCAATAAGTAAACATATACTAAATATTCGAGTTTTTTATTTGATTAAAAAACTGCAATACAAATATTAAATCAGATTATATAAAATGATATGAAGGCATAAATATAAAACAACGTCAAATATCGAACACAATTTCATAGTCCATCATTGAGTAATGTAAAACTAGAAGGGTGAAATCTTGGTTACCTAATAGGAGTTTATACATTTGAGAAAACCAAAATTTTATTTATATATGTTTTCTTTGATGAATTAGTTCACCAAATCCTAACTAGCAAATATCATCAAACATCCATGAAATTTACTCATAATAAAACATATTTTTAAGGTATAAATCTCTATTAAGAAATTGAATTAAAAGTAAATATTCTTTTCGGTATCTTATTATTATATTTATTTAACTATAAATTCGTAAAACGAATATTTAACTTTAATTCAAAGATGTATTTTTCATAGTATAAATCGGTTGAAATATATTTTTTATACTTATAATTTACTATGCCTACGCTAACAATTTAATTATATTTAATTTCTTTTGGTCCAAAATCCAAATGTATATTAAAAATGGAAGAAAACCCATAATATCTTTACATTCAAACAGAGTTCTTCCGACGTAAGTTCTCTCTCTGTTTCTCTCTCTCCCTCTTTCACACACACACACACACGAAAACTTGGGTTTCTTCTCAACTGAAACTGGACTCATTAAATCTTCCTATCTCTCTTGAATGAATGAAATTAAAGTCAGCCAGCTCCTTCCACTGCTGCATTAGTTGTAGAGAGAGAAAAAAAGAGATAGATCGAGAGATTGATGGGTTTAATTGGGTTTCCTTGTTTCGGTTTTCAAATTTTTTTAAAAAAAAAAATGATGAAACACCTTTATTTCTTTTTTGATTATTTGAATTCATAAATACATTTACAACGAACCTCTGTTTTTGCATTAATGGCGATTCATATCAAATGGCTGAAAACAGGAGAGAGATGTTAAACACTCTGTCACAGTAATTGCTTCCCATCTTCTCAACCACATGCTTATATAAATCACACCTCAGTTTCCACTCTTTTTCGCTCATCTCCTTCTCCCTCTATTTCCCTGTTTTTTTTTCTCTCTCTCTCTCTCTCTAGTAGTATTCTTCGTTTCTCTCTGTAACTCGTGTTATAATCAAGCTTGATTTTTCTGTAATTTGATCTATTTATTTTCTCTGAAATTCCATTTGTTGGTGTAATGCTAGTCGGATTAAGCATTCCTCACTCACATTTTTGAAGCTTTCTCTCACTAAAAGAACGATTTTTTGGTTGAAATAAACGAAACCCATAATTTGTTGAAGCGGAATCTGATCTGGGTGGTGTTGATTTTCACAGAATTTTATTTGAAGAATTTTGGCGGGAAGAAGGTGATAGATACACCATGGATGTATCTATTGCTCTGGTGTTGTTTCTTGCTGTGACTGCTTATCTGCTATGGTTTACTTTCATCTCACGGTCATTAAAGGGTCCACGTGTATGGCCATTATTCGGCAGTCTTCCGGGACTGATCGAGAATTCAGATCGGTTGCACGAATGGATTGCAGATAATCTTCGGGCCTGTAACGGGACCTATCAAACATGTATCTGTGCAGTCCCGTTTCTAGCCCGAAAACAAGGTCTTGTAACCGTCACCTGCGACCCGAAGAATCTTGAACACATTCTGAAAACCCGGTTTGATAATTACCCAAAGGGTCCAACATGGCAAGCTGTTTTCCATGATTTATTAGGAAAAGGGATCTTTAATTCGGATGGCGATACGTGGTTTCTACAAAGGAAGACGGCGGCACTCGAGTTCACAACCAGGACACTCCGACAAGCGATGGCTCGATGGGTGACTCGAGCGATCAAGAATCGGTTCTGTCCGATTCTCGAACGGGCTCAGGTCCAGGCCGAGCCTGTAGATCTACAAGATCTTTTGTTACGAATCACTTTTGATAATATCTGCGGGTTGGCTTTCGGGAAAGACCCACAGACGTTGGCCCCTGAGTTGCCCGACAATAGCTTTGCATTGGCTTTTGATCGGGCAACTGAGGCTTCCTTGCAACGGTTTATTTTCCCCGAAGTCATTTGGAGAATGAGGCGATGGCTCCGGCTTGGTTTGGAGGTCAGCTTGAGCCGAAGCCTTGTTCACGTGGAGGAGTATTTGTCGAGCATCATTACTACACGCAGGCATGAATTGTCCGGTCAGCTTAAAGATGGAGGCTTACATGATGACTTGTTATCAAGGTTTATGAAGATGAAAGAATCCTATTCTGATACGTTCTTGCAACACGTGGCACTCAACTTCATCCTAGCTGGACGCGACACGTCATCTGTGGCGATGAGCTGGTTTTTCTGGTTGGTGATTCAGAACCCAAAAGTGGAAGACAAAATTCTTAGAGAAATCTCTAGCGTCTTGCTGGAGACACGTGGCGATGACGTGGCGAAATGGACAGATGAGCCATTAGGTTTTGAAGAGGTGGACCGACTGGTTTATCTGAAGGCAGCGTTGTCGGAGACCCTCCGACTATACCCATCGGTGCCGGAGGACTCAAAACATGTTGTTTCCGACGATGTGCTGCCGGACGGAACTTTTGTTCCGGCGGGATCTTCAGTTACATATTCAATATATTCCGCCGGCCGGATGAAGTCAAGTTGGGGTGAAGACTGTCTCGAGTACCGCCCTGAGAGGTGGTTGTCTGCCGACGGCACAAAATTTGTGAGGCATGATTCGTATAAATTTGTAGCGTTTAATGCCGGACCAAGGATATGTCTTGGGAAGGACTTGGCTTATTTGCAGATGAAGTCTATAGCGGCGGCGGTGTTGCTACGCCACCGTCTGGCGGTGGTGCCGGGGCACAAGGTGGAGCAGAAGATGTCGTTGACGCTGTTCATGAAGTATGGGTTAAAGGTGAATGTGTTTCAGAGGGATTTGAGGGCAGTTATGGAAAGTGTGAAGAAAGAGAAAGAAGGTGTCGACTAGCGGCGGCAAACAGCAGTCGACGGCGGTGGTTGGGGTTGTTTAATTTTGGTGGTTGGGTTGATTTATCGGTATAAAGTTTGATGAGGTAGGTCTGAATTTTGAATACTATTAAATTTTTATTTGGGTTCGGGTTCGGGTTGAGCTTGTGCTTTGAATATGGTCACATGCAATTTTTATTATTTTTACATCTTGTAGGTACAATTTCATTTATTATTGTGCCATAATAGTCTTATTTGGATTTCCATTATGGAAAGATAAATAATAACCGTATAAATTTTTAACAATAATTATTTTATTTTTATTTTGAATAGCTATAAGAATATGGTATAATAGTGTACACATTGAATGTTTGTTGTGGGAATTTTTTTTTTTTATTAGTTTTTGTAGTGACTGTATTCAAAATGTGCTTTCATAGATTGTACTAATGTACTATATAATTTCAGTTACAATTAAGTATGATTAAAAATAGTTCTATAGAAGTCGATTAAAAGGTAGCAATTGAAGGCATGGAAATTTGGTTACAGTCAATTTAAACCTTTTGTATATTAATAGAAAAAGACGTATAAAGACAGTTTTATCACAAAATATTAAAAAAGACAGTTCTATTACAAGATGATCTATCTTTAAATATTTAATATTTAAAGCTAGTAAAGATAAGAATGAAATTCTTTCTATTATTATGAAATAATCATTTATTTTTTTCAATTAAATTTGCAAAAAAAAAAAAATGTTTTTTTTGGTGCAAACTCATTTTATGAATTGTCCCCATTATAAAGTGTTTGTTGTATTGAAAGATAATGTTCTAGGCGGTCTCATGCGTCTTGAGCGGTGCTATCCGACACTATACAAGACTTAAGTATTGTAGGAATAAGATCACTGAAGATTTGTTCTATAGATCCATTGTATGATGATTGCATTTAAAATTGCCCAAATTTACAATTTTTTAATGTCTATAAGCTTTAGGAAGGATGATACGTTTGAATAGTTCAAACGTTTTACACTAGTCACATGACCATGTTACTTTTAGATTATCCATATCGGGCCCTTCAAAGAAATTTTGCAATGTCACTAAGCATATATAGATTGCCACTTATGACTTCATCTTTCAAATATTTTAAAGACTTGCAAGTGGGTTTATAATGTTATTTTAATCTACCAATCATATGTAGCTCTTTATTGCAAGATGTTAAACTTGCACTAGTGTAGATGCTCTTACACTTAAAATTCCATACGGACATGTGGATTGTGTAACTTTCGAAAAAAAAACTACAGTTTATCAATTTTAATTACAGGATTTAGTCACTTTTGAAGGTTTATTACATTTTAATTATGTTGACGTAGTCGTCTTAACTACTAGGCGACATATAGATGTTTAAATTAGTATAAGTATTTGACTATATTTTAAATTAATGGAGAAAATTGTTCACATAAATCTACAATAGCCAGACACGTTAAATAGTATGTAATCTACAATAGCCAGACACGTTAAATAGTATATATAGTATACAAAAAAAAAATGACTAAATCCAAATAAAAACAAACAATTAATTAACAATTAAAGAAAGTTTGATGGGAAAGTGGTGGATATACTTATATAGGTTCGATGCACCTCCTATATAATTCAGTTTCAATTAATTATGATTAAAAATAGTCGGTAGCAAATAAACACATGAAAAGTTGGTTACATTCAATTTAAACCTTTTATATCAACAGAAAAGACACATGCATATAAATTAAGACAATCATATCGGCTCAAATGCAAGCAATCAATTATGAATGTAAACTACAACAAAACCTAATCCAATTTTTGAAGGAGAAATTCAATTTATTAATTGTAAACAATTTTGGACTGATTTGATATGTTCCTGTCTTCTTCTTGTCTTTGTGTTTACAATTAAAAATAATTAAAAATTACAGCCTCAACACATTCATTACATATAACAACAGCTTTTGCATCTTGACATGATTCATCATACCAAATATATATGATCCATGTAAATGGTGTTATGCAAACCAGTCACAGCCCCATTTTAGCCTTTAATTTGTCTAAATTCCCTATTCTGATTATTATTCAGTCTAGAATTTTCTCACCAGTGGAAAACAGGTTCCAAACAAGAGTCCCAATGAGGTACAACACAACAGCCACCTTGAAGACATCATCCCAGGTACCTGAAACATATCATTCCTTATGTCATGTCTTGAAGATATATAGTATTTATTATTATTATTATTATTATTATTAGTTAAGTAATTAGTAATGATTTATGAAGTTACCATTCTGGAGTATATAACCAGTTGCAGCTGTACCAAAGACTCCAGCAAGTACTCCTGCTGTGTTAGACAGCCCCAACAAGACTCCCTGGCAAGTCAAAAAAGGATTAGTAAAAGTCAACTAAAATTATGAGATGCATTATCTCATCTGTGATGAAATTATAAATTAGAATTATTACTAACCGCATATCGGGGTCCAATGTCTTGGTGATTGGAGTAAAGGCCAGATTGAGAGAATGCATCAGATCCCTGCCACATAACGCTTTTTAGTATAATTGAAAGTTATAATGTTTGTGTTGATTTAAGGGATAAAAAAAAAAATCGAGACCTGACTGCAAGCCATACAAAGCACTGCCATTGCAGGTGTCTTGACACGGCTCAGCTGTGTAAGAAAGAAAGCAGGGCCCAAGAATCCGATCGACTGCATTATCTACATACATATTGGAAACATTTCACATAATTAAATTCAATGTTATGGTAATCATAAAAATTTTAAAAAACAAAAACAGTATGTTTAGTTTACCTTACGAACAGTGGTAATTGAAAAACCTCGGCTAACAAGTGTGTCTGCAATCCAACCTCCAATGTTGGCAAACACAGCCATGGTCAACCATGGCAATACACATAACAGTCCGGATTCAGTAAGGTTAAACTTTAACACCTGGGGCAAAAATAATATGTTAGTTTAGTTGATCTGAAAATATAATTAAATAGAATAGTATTGTAATTTGTACCTGGTTATAGTAAGTAGGCATCCATGTGAGAAGAATAAAAGTTCCCCAATTGTGACAAAAGTGGGAGACAATGAGAGCCCAAACAGGTGCTTTTGATAATATAAGTCTCCATGGAATTTCAGTCACGGGTTCCTTTGAGACACTGCCACCTAAGATATACTTCTTTTCCTCTGCACTAAGCTCAGGGTCATCTGTTGGTGAACTATGAGCCTGAAAAGTCAAAGTCAAAGTCAAACCCAAAATTTTGCTACATTAATATTGAATATCCTTTAAGGGTCTGTTTGATAGGATGCAATGGAAGGGTATGAGCAAGGTAACGGGAATGGGTCTGTTATCTTGAAGGAATGGAAACGGAATGTGTCATGTAAACATGTAGTTTGTTAGAAAATTAATTGATAAATAAATAAAGATGTTATTTTATAGATAGAAACTATAGTTAAATAAAAATATATATATCGGTAAATAAATTAATATTGTTTGATAAATTATTAAATACCATCAAAATTTAAATAAATATTATTGGTAGTTATTCTTTGGAAATGAGAAATGAGAAATAATGATTTAATTGAATAAAATAAAAACATCCCTCCCCCATGGGAGAAGGAATGCTTCATTAAGCATTCCATTCCTAACTGACAAACAAAGGAGAATTTTTTTAATTCCATTCCATTCCCTTTCGGGTTACTGCATTGCATATCCTTATATTATTATTACCAAACGAAGTGAAATAAAAATTGGTGGCAAAAGACGTACTTTGGCCAGCCAGAAAGCAAACCAGACACTTCCAAGGGAACCAAAGGAGTAGAATACAGATGGCCATGCAAACTTTTGAATCAAAATGGGCGATACACCCAAACCTATAACAGAGCCTAGATACATTCCACTGTACACCAATGCCAATGATCTACTTCTTTCCGAGACTGGAATCCATTTGCTGAGTATGTTATTCATAGCAGGCATTGCAACACCCTGTAAAAGTAAAACACGCACCCACTGTTTGTCTCTGTTTCTGTTTTGGTTCAATATGAATGAAAATTGGATACCAACCTCACCAATTCCCATGAAAGCACGCATTACAAGCAAGAAAGGAAGTCCGATTTTGGCAGCAATTGGAGTTAAAACCGTTGCAACCGACCACCAGATCACTCCAAAACCCAGTACTTGTTTACCACCAATCTTGTCTGCCCATATACCTCCAACAATCTACTACCCCAAAAAACACATTCACATACACAAAAAATTAAATATAAATTTATTCAACACTTTTTCCCATTACCCAGCTTTGATATATATATATATATATATATATATATATATATATATATATATATATATATATATATATATATATATATAACCACAGTGTATTTTCATCATTTTATCGATTTAGACACTTAACTATTATTACCTTTTATCATTTTAGCTACTGAACTATTACATTACAATTTTATCTAGTATTATAATAAAGGAAAATTGTGGGGAAAAGCAACATACTTTTACTCTCACTACCAATATTATCAATGTGCTTGATCTTTTTTTCATAGTGTACATATGTTGCTAATTGCTATTATGGATAAGGAAATGTAAGTATATTGCTATTACGGGTAGAAAATAAAGTACATCTTACAAGTTTTAGGCTACATAGCTCAAGCGCTGTTATCCGTAATAAGTGTAAGTATATTGCTATTATGGGTAACAAAATTAAGTACACTGCCCATATTGGTAAAAATAGTGAAGTACATTGCTATTTCCTGCAACTTGCGCTTATAATTAATCGTTAATAGATAATACGGACTAGTTTTGAGACTAAATCAATAAAATAGTAAAAGTACGTTGTGCTTTTCAGTATTTTGTCTTTTTCCAAAATCCGGGAAAACCGATTTATCAAAACTGTTCAATTAACCACTATAATTTGATAAAATAGTGAAAGTAAGTTGTGCTTTTTTGTATTTTGCCCAACAAAATGCATACAAGAGTTATATGGAAACTAGAAAA